AGTTACAAAATATATTTCAAAGAGAAAGAATTAAAGGCTTGTAATTACTAAAATAATTATTTTCGATTTTACTATAATTAGTATAGGTACAGTATGACAAACTTTGGACTATACCGTCTTTTAAATGTCTGTTACACTTTGGACTAAACATTTTATTTAAAAGAATGCATAATTATGTTTACGTTTTATGTTTTAACAAGAATTAATTTTACATGTTTAACAAGATAATTCATGTTTTTTAGTTTGATATAGGCCTACCTAAAATCTAAAATTGTGTTTCCTCTACTAGTAAATGCTAATCTACAGAGTATGTGTCGTTTATATTCCACATGTAAACAAAATTATATATTAGGATATATTACTTTTTTATACATATAATGCACATGAATACGTTCTTAAGAATGTATGTTAAGTACATTTTGGTACTTTGAAACCTTGCTAGTAGTTATTAGTAGTAATTCAAACACAAATTATTATCGTATTTATTTTCAGGCACTTGGCAATTTTTATCATCAAGTTTTTGTTTAGTTGATTTTTTTTTTATTTTTTTTTTATTTTTTATTTTTTTACGTGTTGATATTACACACGTTTCGGTCATTTATTGCTCCTCTTCAGCCAACTAAAAACAAAAGTTTAACACTATAAAATTACAAATAACAAAGATATTAGGTATTGTTTTTCTAAAAACATACCTTTTTAATTTACGAGTTATCNATTAGAATCTAAACTGCGTTTTTCAGAGTTTGTCTTATTACTTCCTGAAATAATCTTAAAATTTAAATTATGTAAAGTAGACCTAATATAAATTATTCTTTTAATCTCAATAATACTGCCATTCTACATCATGATTTCTACTAGCCATGTAGTGATGACATATGCCATTATCGCACGTTTTCGTTTCTTGTAGTTGATAACTCATTGTTATTGAAAGATTTTGCTCTTTCGTTTTAGATATCTTTATAAATTTGGATAATAAATAAAGAATAATGTTATCTCTGTTATTTTTTACCATATATCAAGATGCAAATAAGATAACTGATACAGCCTCAGAGTTCACTTTATAGTATATTTAATTGGTTTTTTCTCATAATACTCTACAGTTTTAGGTCATGACTCATGAGCTGCTCCTGACCATGGCAACCAAAATTGAAGTTATTTCATTCTTCAGATGCTTATTATTATTTTTTAAATAAAATAAAATGAATCGATTGTATTTCAATTACCAGTGAATATGTGTAAATAAATTATATATATATATATATTTAATTTTCTTTGTCTGCAAAATTTTGACCGATATTTACCTGTATTTCGTTACTCCAGGCAGTGTTGCCGTTCCTAGTACATTTGTACTTTTCTGGTATATTTTGCCCTTTCCAGTAAATTGAAAGTACATTTAGATTTTTAGTACATTTTCAGTACATTATAATATTTCAAGTACTATTTACGGTACAAAATAATATTTCACGCCTTAACGAAAAAATTAGTTTAATAAAGTCTCACTAGTGTCACTGCTTGCTAATTTAAATTATCCAATCACAACATACAAATGGTGTGTGTCCGTCGACGTCAGCAACATAG